AAAAAAAAAAAAAAAAAAAAATTCAAGAAATATCCTTCTTCCCACACACAAATAGGGGTTAAAACCAAAAAAGGCCTCAGGCTACCTCCACTATTCTACCAGTGCCATCCCCACCCACAACTCTGGTCTCTGGACCATCTGCCTCCCCTCACCTCATTTGGAGGCTCCTGCTGCCCAGGAGAGGCCTGCCCCACCCAGCAACCACTAGCATTTCCTTCCAGCCCCTCACAATTAAATTCCCTTGATTATTTCCCCCATGGAGACTTTAGGGCAGAGAGGAGTTGGTGGGGGCAGTGTGCTGGATGTAGAGGATGAGAAAGGAAGTTGGGTAAGTGAGGGACGGGATGGGAGGAACAGGGCACTGCCCAGAGGCCTGGAAAGGATAAAACTCGAGCTAAAGCTAGGGAAGCCTAAGGTGTTATATTCCTCACACAGAGACAAAACACAAACACAGGGTAAGAGTAGTTTAGTAGAATGTCTTTCCCTAAAATAAAAAAAAAAGCAGGTAGATTAGGCGTGAGGCCCAGACCACTGGCTGCAGCTCATGTACATGTGTGCCCAGTGGTTTTCTATGTCCAGGAGAGTGGAGACCCAATGCTCCACAAAGCCGACCTACCCGCAAAGCTGTGATTTGGAAGAGCCCTCCAGTTCATAAGCCACCAATGGTCCTTGCAGCACATCTCTGTATGCTCAGGAAATGCTGGCTGGAGGAAGGCTGTGACTCAGCCTTATTCTGGGAGAAAAGCCTTCTGCCCTCACACTGCAGCTGGCTGGGCCAGCTCAGGATGGAGAGGCCTCTTCTGTGTCTAGGGGGCTGCCACAAGCAAGGGCAGGAGGCTGTCAGCTACAACTGCCAAGAAGTCACAAGAAAGTGATCTGCATTTAAACTTGGTGGCGGGGAGGAGCACACACCATAGTCTGAGTGGTTTATTCTACAAGAAAACTTTCTGTGTCTTTATCCTCCTCTAAGGAATAAGATCCAGGTAGATCCTCACTTCCTGCACCAAATCTAAGCCTAATCAGGAATTTGGCCTTTTAGAGTTTGGGTTTTCTACTTAAATCTCATGGGAAAAAGCCAACGCTGACCAATTTCTCAGTGGCGGTGTCAGTGCCCCCCCCCCCCCCCCAGAGGCCAAGCAGCCCCTTCCTCCCACAGGACCCACAATGCCTTCTACTCACAGTCTCTGTGTTCAGCACGACCTGGGACCTTGAAAAACATCCCTCCGGTAGTCCCACAACATCTGAGATGTTGGGTTTGGAACACATGATACCGGCCAGGCTGCCCAGGGTTGGGAACTCTAACTTGAACTGGAGGCTTCTCCCGCCACAACTGCCAACAGAGGAGCACCTCCCCATACAAAGGCCTGATTCAGAGGGAGGTGACCTCAGTGCCAAGGGGTGGGGGAGGAGGGAGGAGGGAGGAGAAGCCGGCCCTCTCTGGCTCAACATTTGGAGTAGGTGGAGAGGGCAGTTTTTGGGCAGCCAGGAACAGCGCAGGGGGAGACTGTTGCTTGGGTGGGTGGGGAGTCTCTGTGTAACCAGGGGATATCACTGAGTGACTCTGGGCAACCACTGTTTCTTCAGCCCAGTCTGTCATGTGAGGTCCCAGTTTTCCCCAACCCTCCCATTTTAAAGGCAGGAGAGAGGAGGGGGATTGAGGGCCTCAAAATAGAGCTGACTCTCCTGGCCTTTCAGTCAGCCAGACCAAAGGAGTGGGGTCTCAGCTTCTACTCCTTCCCCAGCGGGGTACAGGGAAGACCTCTCCCTAAGCTCTGAGTCCAGGCCTGGGAAGAAGGGGACAGCGAGGTGGCAGCAAGCCTGTCCTCCATCCCTCTCACCCGGCCCTCAGCCAAGGCTTCTGGCCCCTCATGAGCCCCTCACTCACCAGCTGTTCCCCCCAGAGTCCTCTAGGGAGAGAAGCCAGGGGCCAGGAGAAGGGGGAGGGGTGGGCAGCTGTGGGAAGGCAGCGATAGAAGCTCACTTTAATAACAGAATCATCCGTAACACTGACTGCTTCCCTCTGCTCCCCTCCCCAGCTGCTTTCTGGAATCCCTTTACCAGTCACACCCAGGAGTCCTCTTGTAAACAGCAACTTCAACACCCAGGCAAACATCCTTTCTAGCCAAGATGAGCCCTGGGCTGCTTTGTGGCAAGGGCAGTAGACAACTGAGGCCTGGCTCCCAGGGCACTCTTGGCTGAGAGTAGACACTTAATCTTAGGGCCCAAAGCATCTTTCAACCCTAAGAATTCCAACTGGTCTCCACCCCCCTCAGGAAAAGAGGGCAGATAAGAATTCCTTCCCTCCT